AGCCCAATTCAAGATCAAGCCTTGACGGCCCTTGGGTTGACATCTACATTAAGGGACTTCAAAACGCATCTTCTACACGTGACAAGCACATGTTTACGACGCGCCTTGAAGTGGGGGCATTTGTAGACATCAAAATTTCGGTGAAATGAATGTTGACCAATAATTAAAATTTCAACGCTCACGTGTCACATAAATTTTACATGTAGCGTGTGACTCAACGAAAAATCGAAATAAATTGGAAAGGTCATCAAATAAGACACGTGTCAATACCTGGCAGAAATGATTTATTTCATCTGATTATTTAAATCCAAAAATCAAGTTTTGGAATTCTATAAATAGGAAGCCAAGACATTCATTTGAAGAAAAAAAAGAAAGGAAGGAAGGAAGAAGAATTTGCATTACACAAAAACCTTCAAGCCTTGAAACTCTAAAGGTCTCAAGCAAATCCCGAAGGACCAAGAAAACACTCTTCGTTCTTCGTCAAATCCTCCTTCAAGTTCAAGCCCCAACGGCCCTTGAAGAACTTCCACCAACTCAAGATCAAGCCCCGACGGCCCTTGAGGAAAGTGTTCATCGCTCATCATCCGTTCATCCTAAGATCAAGCCCCCAACGGCCCTTTGGATCAACAACCTCAACAAATCCACACATCCAATCGTTCTTCAAGATTAAGCCCAAAAGCCCTTGAAGATCCGCTCATTCATCAACCTTCAAGATCAAGCCCCGACGGCCCTTGAAGAACTTCCACCAACTCAAGATCAAGCCCCGACGGCCCCTTGAAGAAAGTGTTCATCATTCATCATCCGTTCATCCTAAGATCAAGCCCCAACGGCCCTTTGGATCAACAACCTCAACAAACTCATACACCCATTCTTCAAGATCAAGCCCAACGCCCCTTGAAGATCCATTCATCAACTGTTCATCCTTAGATCAAGCCCCGACGACCCTTTGGATCAACAACTCATCCACAAACCTACACCCTACGAAGATAGAATCAGAGGACCAAATTGCAAAGAGATTGTAACCCCAAAATCATTAATACAAATATATATTTTGTACACGTATTCTTGTCTCTTGTTTCAGAAATTTTTCGTGTTTACAGTCTAATCACAAGAAAAAATTATTTTGCTTTTGAGAAACTCTAATCACAATTAACTAGCCACTAAACATATGATATGATAATTTAAAATGCATATGACTATCGTGATTATTAATATTGTACCCTAGTCTTTCATTCCTACATAGTAACATAAACCAATTAGAAAGAAGAGAAAAAGCATATACATACATACATACATACATATATATATATATATATCAACTTCCAATTATATAATTGATGATAAGATTCCATTTTTCCTAAGAGTTGTCGACATCTAAACAGTCGCAAAAGAATCTCGCGGGAGAGAGATGCATGATGGAAGTCTGGACGAAATGAGTAATAATATCTAATCTAATCATGCTTAATTAGCATGGTTACGCATATGAAGAACAGAATAATATCTTTGGAGGGGTTTTTGTTTGCGATGTTACATGCATGTTGATTTTATTCGAGCCTTAAACATATCGAATAAGTGGGAAACATTTCACTAATTAAGTTGTCGTGTACAAATCCTGATATACAAAAAGAACAAATGAACAGTTAAGAGGTCGTTTGATAACTATTTCATTTTCAGTTTTTTGTTTTTGTTTTCATTTTTTTGAAAACTGAAAACTAAAATCATATAGAATAAGTGTGATACATTTCACTAATTAACTTGTCGTGTACGAATCCTAAAATACAAAAAGAACAAATAAATAATTAAAGGCATGTTTGATAACTATTTCGTTTTCAATTCTTTGTTTTTATTTTTACTCTTTTGAAAACTGAGGAAAAAAAAAACCGAAATCTTGTTTGTATATATATAGGCTAATAGGGATGTCTTCTATTAGGTGCCTATAGCGGATGAAACTATGTACTTGTACAAATTTTGTGACAGAATCTCATACAAAATTATTATTATTATTTAAGATGATTACATTAGCTGACAGCTGGCTCAGATGACCAAAGGTATAAACTTGTGATTTGACCAAAAATTGATTTTCCATTGACCACCGTTGACAAAAAAAGGGGCACCAAGCTCACTGATTTTGTTTCCTACTTTCGTCATAAAGGTCGCCATTGATTACAAGCTTCTAGAGTATATTAATTCCAATTTGTTTACTTTTTGACATTGGGAAAATACGTAGTGCAATTATTGTCACACTATATTAATTCATGTGTTATAAGTTAATTAAATGTTATTTTACTCTTTTTTATGTAACTTTAAACTGTTTTTAAACTTAATAATTAAGGGGCCATTTCTGGAAACACCATTTCCCGCTTGACTTGCACGTGTTAAGCATGCAGCCAACGTTGAAATCAATAGAACCGTAATTAAACTCTAAAAACTGTCAATAGCTATTTCAGCTTCAATTTTTTATTTTTATTTTCACTTTTTTGAAAACCGAAAACTTAACTTTTGTTTATATAATATAGGGATGCCTTCTATAAGTGCCTATAGTGGATGAAACTACATACGTATACAAATTTTGTGATAGAATCTCATACATATTATTATTTAAGGTATCTACCTTAGCTGGACAGCTGGTCCAGAATATCAAAGGCATAAACTTTGTGATTTGACAAAAAAAAAAAATTATTTTCAATGACCACCAAGTTGACTGATTTTGCTTCCAAATTTCCTAATTTCATCACAGAGGTCGCCATTGATTATAAGCTCCTAGAGTATATTAATTCGAAATCGTTTACTTTTGGACGTAGAGAAAATACATAGTGCAATTGTCATTACATAATATTTACTAATTCACATATTATAAACTGAACTGTCATCGAACTCAATTCTTGTCACAGTGCTTTATAAATAAAAAGAGGGATCAATCCAAACCAAAGCCTCATCATTTGAGTTTATGATGAGATGGGGATAAATAGGAATATCAGAATATCAGCAGGTAGAGACTATCCAACACTACAGAGAATATCAGCTATATTATATGCATCGCAGCCATTCCAAATGAACAGTTTTGTACCACGGTGAAGTCAATATCTAGAAACTAAATAATGGATTCCATCCAAAACCATATTTTTTTCGAAATTAGGGTTTAAGTTATATAGTTATGCACATTACATTTACATGTCGTGTCACCATGGTATTAAATATAACCATCGTCACATAAACATATACATGAGCGTTTAAACGCTAATCAATTGGTTGGTAAGATTACAAGGTGCTAACCTGTCTTTGTACTGCACTAGCAAAGCCAAAGCGCCCCACATCTGATTTTAAATAGTGCCAGCATCGATCCCATATCTTTGTACTGCACTAGCATGCTAGCTAGCACGTATTTTTACTGGTTTGGGTAGTTTTTATATGTGTGTAGCTTTATTTACCTTCAACAAGAAGCTAATACAGGAGCGAGAGAAGCATTTGATTCTTGCAACAATAATTTTTATTGCTGCCACTACACTGCTACGCCCTGATATATTCATATGAGAATGGATAAGACAAAATGTGCGAAATGCTTGCTGCTTTGGCCTTGTGGAGTTTTAATATGGCATGCATGCGAAATATTCCTTCTAATCAACACCAACACCTGTTGCAAAGAACCACCTTCAATATATATTCAAGGATCCTGTACTGAAATTCCAAGAGAAAGAGTGCAGTGCAGGAACGTATTAAATTAACAGTCCCATGTAAAGGGTGATTCTAATTATCAAGGCATAATTTTGTGGACCATGGCTGCAAGCCGGAATTATAAATTTCATAAATAATTAATAGATTAAATCATCAACTGTATCTATGTTTTGTGAGTGCTAGATTTTTAGTAGCGTCGTAGTTAAATTTAATATAGAAGTCATTTTTTTAGTATTTGAACATCGTCACTTGGTATAATTAATTCAGTTCATGTTAACACGTGTGGAGTGATTGTTAATTTCATACCCTAGATTATAGATCTCATTGTCTCAATGAAACAAGAATGATTGGTCGGTTTTGTTGTGTCACCCCTTAATGTTGAGGTTTGTTAATATGTCTTAATTGATTAAGAGTATTGACTCATATATATGAGATTTTGAGTTCGATTCTCCTTCCCTAATTTATATAACCACCAAAAAAAATTACTAAATCCAATTCCAATCAGCTCACTCCATGTACTGGGGGACGTGGCCCCATCGGTTAGATGTAAACCAATCATTAAATATAGTTTTATTCTTCCTATATATGCCTTTGTATGGAGATTATTTATGGACCAAGAGACATGGAGATTTGATGCATTTCACGTACAGCGGGCAACCCCCAAGCCCCTTTTAGTATTTGCTCCTGTTGTACCTTAGGGATTGTCTTTTGGCATCGTAGAGAGATGTGCTATCTGCATGAAAATACACAAATCAAAGCAAAGCAAAAGAAGAGTGTCGTAGTTCACCTAAAAAAGAAGAGTGCCGTATCCAAGCCTTCTCAGTATAAAGCAAAGTTGCTCTCTCTCTCTCTCTCTCTCTCTCTCCATGTCACGTTCCAAACCAGCTAAGCTAACCCTTCTTTCTTTCTCTCTCTCAAGGTTCGAGAAAGTGCATCATAAACCCTCAAAAATCCTATAAAGAAAACCAACCACCCCCAACACCATATGAAGTAAAAAACTGCCTCTCTAGCTAATTAAGAAACTTCTTAGCTTTTAAGCTCTTAACCCTCCTGCCTCCCTCTCTTCTCTTACTTATCTTCTTTCTATTAATTCACCAATCATCAAGCAAGGATGAATATTATCTTCTTCTTCTAATTATTTCCCTGCATCCATGTCCTAGCTAGCCAGCTATAACGACCTTTCTTATAGCTAGTATAGCTAGTATATTTTGGAATAAAGGGAAAGAAAACAAATTATGGGTGGTGGTGTTTCTTGCCTTAAGTTGTTCTTGCAAACGCTTGTGGTAGTAGGGTTTATCTGTTTCTTGTTGATCGGAACACTAGAGACTCGAGGGGGTACAAGTACAGCAGCCTCAAAGCATGCTGATGCGGTTGGAAGAGAGAAGCTTGTTCATCCAGACTTGGATCTCAACTATATGGTGAGCAAAAGAAGAGTTCCCAAAGGACCAGATCCTATTCACAACAGGTGAGGATTTATATGGTTTCACTCTTGATCACTTTCTTCGTGGTGGTAATTGAGTTTATAAGTTTTAGATTAGGAGTTGTAAATGGAAAATAATATAATTAATTTGCCAAAACTAGTGAGTGAGTATACATATATATACGCTTCTCACATTTACAAGTCACATACCGCTCATGTAATAAAATGATCATGACAAGAAACGCACGCACCCTCTGCACAAGAAACGCACGCACCCTCTGCTCTTTCTTTTATATGGTGTGATTCACATGCATTGATGCAATTATGATTATGTATCTCTTAAATACTTTAGGATATTTGTGTGTGTGTGTGTGCATGCGTGTATGTTCATCAAGCAAACGTTCCTCTGCAATTATGATTGTGTATCTGGTGATGCATGGCTTTTCCCTTCCCTTTAGGTTCCCAATTAGAACATGATATTATATCTTCTTCTTGATCTTTCTAGCAAAATATATAACAATAGAGATGCTAATAGAGAATTGGTTCTCTTTGTTTCCTTTCTGTTTTACTTTTAGGTTATAATATTTGAGTATCTAATGCAACTGCATATATGAAGTACGCACATGCATGCGGATATGCACCCAAAATTAAAAGAAAACTAATATGCACTCCTGATGCTTTATCTGTTACATTGATTTGTTGCAACGATTAAATCACGATTAGGTACAGTTTTTAATCCCCATTCACTGACTCCAACAAAAGAAAAATAAAGCATGCTTCTTCACTTTATTCCATTCCTTAATGATGTTTGTTTAAAACTAATTAACCTTTAACCTTGTTCTATACATTTATGGTACCTTCAACCTTTACATTTGTGTCTTTTCTTTCCCCTTCTTTTTTTGCCTCCTTTATTAGGTATGATGCTTCATATTAACGGATAGTTACCTTTCAATTAGGCATCTGCGTTTAACTAATTACTTACTTTACTTGATTTCTTCTCACAGGAGAGCCGGGAGCTCGGGACGGCCCCCCGGTCAAGCTTAGCCACTAATTAAGTACTCCAACAGGAGTAGTGCAGATGAAGACGATGCACGGGATGGATCGAGATGCATACGAATCGATGGAGATGCATATGCCCTTTAGGCTTATGTATGTATGTCTGTGTTTAAATATTCTTGGAAAAATATTGTGAAAACTCCCAGCTGTACGTGTATGCATATGCAAATCTTTTTCATGACAGAAATAGCTCTGGGAGGCGTTCGGGGAGAGTATACGAAAGGAAATGAAGATTGCCACTCACACAAAAATACGTTCATCGGTCAAATATTACTGTTTTCTCCATAATTTTTTTTAGTGAGTGATAGATATAGCAAATTTTTAGTCGATAGAGGAAATTTGTCTTTGCATGTAAAAAAGCCGATGAGAATATATTTATGTGTGGAACATAACTTAAAGTACTCAAAAGATGTTGTAGCAGTCACCATGCGTGCATGGGATGGTTTGGCCTGCACTTTTCAAGATGCTCAAATATATATATACAAGGGAAGTGATTTTTACAGTTCTTTTTAATTTCTCACGCACATCTTTTTGTTTCTAACCATTAGATTAAATAAATCAAATATAATCAACGATCATGATTAAACATGAATATGTAAAAACTAAAAAGTTAAAAGAGTGTATGTTTATCATTTTCCTATATATTTTAGTTTAACTATCAACAAGTAATTTAAAAATTAAATAAATATGCTTATGGCATGAGTTCCAAAACTAAAGTGAACATATCCTACCAATTAATAAAAGTGGAATATTGCATCTGGAAAATAAAGTTGCCTCTTGGATGTGTGTGAGTCATCTTTTTCCTTGATTCTTTAGCGAAATGCTTACTGTTTTGGTCTTTGGTCCATTCAAACTTAGTTTTGCGTAGGACAAAACTTACAAATCAAGGTTTTGCGCAAAAAGTTTTTATTTGTGTTTTTATGAATTATTTCTGTACGTATATCGGACTATAATTTCCCAAAACGAAGACGAAAGAGTCGAACAGTGTTCTTTTTTCAACAACAAAAAAAAAAAAAAAAAAAAAAAAAAACTGTGTTCTTTTGTATATCATAACCGAAAAAATAAATAAAGAAACAAAATAAAAGAGGTTAAAAGTAAAGGAAGAACTATACGGTCTTCAATAGCTTCAAAGTGAAGCCTTTTTATCCTCTCCTTTCTCTTTTGTGGGGTTTTATATTTTTTATTGGATTGAGAAGCGAAAAAACAAAGACCTAAGGGAGATATGCCCAAAGATAATATTAGGGAGACCAACTTTTTAGATTAAATTTTGTAAGCCAAATGATGTGGTTGTTGATGATTTGATTATTATTAAGTGTTGATTAACGTGTTTATTTTTTGTTTGTGACATATCATATAATTTACAAATTTAATCTATCTAGTATCACTCAAACAGAAAAATAAAAAATAAATAAATAACTAAAAACTTGAAGGTTTTGCTCATTCCACTATGTGAGAGTGAGACAGAGATAAGTCTAACGAGAATGAATTATCAAATTACAACATACATTTTCAATAATACTCTATAAAGAAATAAGTTTTATGTAGTTATAATTTTTTCTTGGAGAGATTAAAAAATTTACCTTCACATATTAACACTCACCCTTCAACACCACCTTTTACGAGTGCATCGAATCGTTAGCGCTAGCGCTTGATAAGGCAACCGTTGGATTTTGTATAAATCTGCTAGGGAGAGTGGACAAGCTTCAAGTGGCGCACTACAATCGGGGAAACTACATTTTCTTTAAGTTCGATACGAGAGAACAAAAGGATAGATTGTACTCCTTTATGTGGGACAACAAGACTTAGTTTAGTCATTTGCTTCAATACTGCCGACAGTGCCGAGTAATAAAAAAATATATAATATTATTACGAATAAAAATTTAAAATAAAATAAAATATTTCTCTAGAGATATATGTGACAATGATGCACTAGTTTTTAGAGATCATGTTATAATTTCATATTATAGCTATATAAAAATCTTTCAGAAGTCTACATTCTATGTGCTGAAACATTGACAATGATTCATATAATTATAAATACCTAGTGGTGCTGAAGTTATATATATAAAAACCGGTGGGACAATCATCGTAGCTTACTCCATGTTCAAACTTCAAAGACTAGTTGAACCTTATATATATATGTATAAAAAAAAAATTATAACAAGACTAGTTGAACTTAACTCTAAGGCCTCATGTGCTGGCGGATCCAATTTGGCGACTCTGAAGGGGAGCAACCGGTGCAATTGCAAGAGCGCTCCTCACCTCACACCAAAAACAAAAAAGGAAGTCGAATTTAGCTCGAAAATTGAGTGGAACTCAAATAAAATCCTTCAAATCTCATAGACGATCCTAGTCCAAATACCACATGAATTTACAAACTATATAAAACTTAATTTGAAAGCACACTAAGCTTCACGTCTTTTTGAATACCGTCAATGTTTGAAAAGTCTTCATCCGAAGGCTCAAAATTGAATGAATCTTCAGTGTGATTTCTAGACCAAATAAACTCAAAACAAATGCCCTTTGATGTCATGGTTTGGACCAAATAAACTCAAAATTATTCCCCTTGCTGTTAGGGTTTTGTCTGCTGGCCCTCCTTCAAGTGTTTGTTCTCAATTGTGCATGTATAAAAGGGAATTTGCACAAATGGTTCTTACAACTTGTATATTGCTTAGATAGAAACGACACAAAATATAATTTTCAACGACAATAAAATTAGTTTAGCTTAATATCAAATTTCAAGTACCGTACTCGAAGTAAATGACAAAAATGCAATTAAAAAACGGTACTCATGAAGTTCAGGTGTCAAATGTCCCTTAGGAGGGAGGACACCCGACGCCCGATCAAACAAAAAGTTTGGGTGTCAAATTAGCAAATCGTAAGTGACGAGAATGCTATTGAAAAGGGACCGTCTTGAAGTTTGAGTGCCAAATTGTAATACAATATGAAGTTTGGGGATAGATTGTAAAAACTTTTAATTTAAGTGGTAATTGCACGAAACCAAAAAGTCCATGTAGTATTGTGCAATATTTCCTTGAAAAATATTATAAAAAAGAGAAAAAGAAAGAAAAATCGGATGGTGGGGACAAGAAGAAGCGCTTAGCAGGTTGAACTGTCCAAAAGAGCAGCTGGAGTCGACACGTGTCGATCATTAGCGAGGTTGACTCGGCGGAGCCACCGGAGAGAGAAAATGTTTTCTTCCTCACAATATTGACGAAAAACAAAAAATCTAAAAAATTCCAAAATCTGCATTTTCACTTGCATTTGCATTTCATTTCGCAGCGAGCGAGAGAGGCTCTCTCCCTTTCTTCTTCACATAAATAAAATACAAATTTCGATTTAATTTCCAGATTTTTTGACCTTTTTAATTTTTTTTCTGTTTAAACAAATAAAACAAAGACGGTGCGAGGAATGATAGAAGAGGGGTCGAAACTCGACCGATCTCCTCCAAAACGACTCGTTTCGCTCCCTGCCTCGAGATCGCTCCGCCGGCGCTGAGTTCGCGCGCATCGGTTTTTTGTTTTGGATCTGTAGGAATCGGAATTGGCGATTGGATCTGAGGGCGGCGGTGTTGGTGGTGGTGAAGCGAAGCGATGCCGTCTCATTCGGATCTGGACCGTCAGATCGAGCATCTGATGGAGTGCAAGACGTTGCCGGAGGCGGAGGTGAAGACGCTGTGCGAGCAGGCGAGGGCGATCCTGGTGGAGGAGTGGAACGTGCAGCCGGTGAAGTGCCCCGTGACGGTGTGCGGAGATATACACGGCCAGTTTTACGACCTCATTGAGCTGTTTCGGATAGGAGGGAACGCTCCCGATACTAATTACTGTTTTATGGGTGATTATGTAGGTCAGTTTCTTTTTTCTTTTTCTTTCCTTTTCTGCTTTTTTTTTTCCCTTATTTTCTTTTGGGTTTTGATTCGTTTACCGTTTTTGGGATTTATTTTTTTATTTGTGGAAATGAATGAGGCTCTGGATTTGATTTCTGTTTGACTTGCGAATAATCCAGTTTGTATATTTGGAATCACATGCTATGATCCGGTTGTTTTCTTGGATTAATGTGAAAAGGATTAAATTTTATGTGATATTTTGTTGTGGCCTCGATCAATCTTACTGTAATTGTTATCAGGGAATTGGTTGGCTGGGTTTCTATTGCTTGTATTGTGTTCTTATCTGTCTAAAATCTGTTGGAATGTCAAGCATGATTTTCCGTAAATGGGGAAATATAATTATGCTGAGCTATATGCGTTGTGTTGTTTAGCTTAATTGATGGGTTGGCATTGTTTTAGAAAGTGGAACGCCTCAGTTTGGAATTTTACGTGTACATATGTGCCAGTGTTTTCTTAATATCATGTTGCACAAATGCAGATCGTGGGTACTATTCCGTGGAGACTGTCACGCTTCTGGTCGCCCTCAAAGTCCGTTATAGAGATAGAATTACAATCCTCAGAGGAAATCACGAGAGTCGGCAAATTACTCAAGTGTAAGAATGTTTATTCTATTTCATGTCCGTTGCTCATAGTCTGACAGTTTTGTTATAGCAATCCAAGTTGTGGGTTGTGTCTAAATTTTCACTGTGTTGTTTTGCTGATCGACTCTAAAGGTTTTACAAAAGAGTAGTGTAGATAATGCTCGGAAATGCCATGTTAGCTTGAAGGCTTTTTCTCTTCTTTTTCCTTGGCTTAGTCTCTTGACAGATATTATTTAAGCGATGTAGATACTTGCTTTCGTAGTTAGATATAGTATGCTTTTGTGGGACTGTACACTCCAGAAAAAAATCATGTTTTTATAATTCCGTGGTCCCTATAATATATTTCCATGTTCCCTGGGGTATCCAAATGACAGCAGAATATATAAGGTATAGCCCTTCAAGGCTCCCGCATCATGTTCCTATCGTTAAAGGCTCCTGCCTTATGGTAACATTTTCTTAAATATAGACACATCTAATCCGTCCACTGTACTTTATATAGCTGCACTGGATGGGGTTCCATTGATACTGGAACCAGCGCTATTTACAAATTACTTGTTGATGTGGCTGCATGGAAAAATAAAGCCGAGAGTTGAATCAGCTTAATTCCATGGACTTTTGAAAGATTTGTTGATTGACAGAGATATTTTTTTCTTTCTTTTTATTGGATCCTAGTTTTATTTATTCTGTATCTCATTTTTGTCCTTTTCCAGGTATGGTTTTTATGACGAATGCTTGAGAAAGTATGGGAATGCCAATGTCTGGAAGTTCTTTACCGATTTATTTGATTATCTTCCCCTTACAGCCCTCATTGAGAGTCAGGTTAAGTTACTTGTTTTGCTGGCAGTTTGATAAGCTTCTTCAAGACATGTTGGTTGCAGTAGTTTTTGACAGCTTCTGGTATATCTTGTAGGTCTTCTGTTTGCACGGGGGTCTTTCACCATCTTTGGACACTTTGGACAATATTCGAGCTTTGGACCGTATACAGGAGGTACGATATGCGTTATATGCTTCAATTCAGTTGCTAATATGGGCGCATGGTTTTGCATCGTATAAGCTTGTTGTGGTTATTTTTACATCATAACATGTTTCTGAATGAGCAGGTTCCACATGAAGGACCAATGTGCGATCTCTTGTGGTCTGACCCAGATGACCGCTGTGGGTGGGGAATATCTCCACGTGGTGCTGGTTATACATTCGGGCAGGATATAGCCGCTCAGTTTAACCATACCAATGGACTCAGTCTGATTTCAAGAGCCCATCAGCTTGTCATGGAAGGATACAATTGGTGCCAGGTGCGCAAACCCCGATTGGAAATAGAAGCTTGTCCTCTTTTCCTCATTTTGCGTCATTTTTAGCTGTATTTTTAACTTCCGTCGTAACTTTGTCTTTCAGGAGAAGAATGTGGTGACTGTTTTTAGCGCTCCAAACTATTGTTATCGGTGCGGGAACATGGCTGCAATTTTGGAAATTGGGGAGAAGATGGAACAGAATTTTCTGCAGTTTGATCCCGCCCCTCGTCAAATTGAACCTGACAACACACGCAAGACTCCGGACTATTTTTTGTAATTTCAATTTCTTACAGGCTGTTTGTAATCCATGTTTTCTGCCGTGTTTAAATGCGTCGTAAAGGAGCTGTGTTTGTTTAAGTTGAGGGTTATTGTCAACATGATTCTTTTGTTTGGAGTTTGTGGTCCACAGCGCTGCTGCTTTGTTGATTTTCTGAAGAACCTCGTTAGGACAACTGACAATAGTCACCAATGGCCTATGGCTGTTGTCTTGTATATTTTTCGGACAGAAAACGTCAATAACACCGGTATATCTTGTTCTGGAATTTTGCAACCTCAACGTAAAGCTTGTTTGGATGTGCTTTTAAAATGATTGAAAACGTTTTTGGTAAAACTTGTTTAGATGTACTTTTAAAATGATTGAAAACGTTTTTGGTGAAAATGTTTTTTAAACCAATCCTTAGTAAAAATACAAGTAAATTTTAGAAAAGCACGTAAATTGCTTCTTGTAGAAAGCACTTTTAAGTGCTTTTGGAATAAAAAAATATTTTGTCTAAAAACACTTTCAGTAAAATTGCTATGAGCCATTTGGTTGCCGCATTTGCTCGCATCGAACCGAAAAATAACTTATATTGAACTGCATGGTAATGCAGGACCTTCTTTACATTTCTTTCGCACAAGCGTAACTAGATCGACGAGCATAAAGTGAGCTTTTGCAATACATTCCTAACGGAAGAATAGTAAGCTATGTGAGAAATATTATGCAGATGAAATTGAAGGCAGAAGACGGTACAGTTCGAGTGAGCTTCCGATGTGGCATTGAATCTCCATTTAAAACCTCGAGTTGTTTTGAATTCGTACAAATCCTGCAGTTGAAGTAGTCTGCTTTCTTCTGAAGTATACTAATGAACCGCTGATGAGCAACAAGAACAGCACGATCACCTGTTCCAGCAATTCATAACACCATACATTAACATGGAAAAAAGAATATAGATGAACTAGTATTTCAAGGATACAAGCCACCGTTGTTAGTTTCCGTTATCAACACCCTTCGATTAACTTATTTGATCAAGCATAGTATGACAACCACCGAGCTCGTTTTTCATATCGGATATAAACAAGCAAAAAGGAAGGTACCAAAGCGTATTATCAAAAGATATATGCATACCTCGAAACCAAGCACCGACAACTTCTCTTCATTAACTGCTGGTATACAGCTTCTATATGTAATGTAAGCCTGTGGCTCTTGTGCGGATGAATCATCAAGTAAACTTCTATGCTTTACGTAAGCACCGAGGTCCTCTGCATTATGCGATTCTTCAACGTTGTGGGAGATCTCCAGAGCAGATCGACTCTTTTGAGCACCTTTCTCTTTTGCTTCCTTTGAGCCAAGTTTCATTTCAACACATTTCAAAGGGATGCGATACCCAGTCTCACTGCAGCGATATTTCTCGTCTTTCTACAGAAATAACAAATAATTACAACCGTACAAGGCAAAGGAATCAGAAACAAGAGAGAACACATAAAGCCAATATAAAATTCAATCTTCAAAAGTGCACGACATGCAGCAATGATTCATATAATCATTAGATATACACGGTTAATTTTCAGACCACCATTATTTCAAATCATCGCATTATAGCTACAGTGCTTCTAACAATCTACGAAAGGCAACTAGAGCAGATGAATTGCGCTAATGTGGTCCACATATGTGGGGGCAGTTCACTATCTCATATAACCTCATTTGGTTATATCTAATGAAATCCTAAAATACCAGTAATTCATAGCAGAACGAGTTAAAAATATTGCTTATCGGGGCTCATTCGAACACAACACAAACCACAATGGAAGTGCTTCAAATTCATTCAGTTTCAAGCCAGCGTGTTCAAATATCAATCCTGACTTGTACTACTGTTACTCAAGTGTAGATCTAAATCAAACCAAACCCTTCTGTCCAATACTTTTCTCAATTTCATGAAAAATTGGCATTCAGGGAATGTCCCACGACAAAAATCCAAACTTGCGGCATCGTCACTCAAGTGTAGAGCTAATTATACCAATCCATTCTGTCCATTTTTTTTATCTTAATTTGACAGAAACTTGCCAAACAGGGAATCGTCCCACAACAAAATCCTAACTTGCAGCATAAGCAAAACTAGACCAATCAATTCTTTTCAAATTTGTTCTTAATTCGAGGAAAACGTCCGAGTTCCGAACACCAAACATCCCACAACAAAATCCAGAAACCGAAATCATATCCAAATAACCTCAAACAATAGTTGAATGCTCAAGATATTCTACCACACCAGGATCACAAAGTACATCAGAATACGATTGAGAAACAATCAATTGGCCGAAATGAGTTCATAAAAACGAAATATAAAACGATCAAAAAGCACAAGATTAAAAACCTTTTCGGGGTAAAGGCAAGGAACGCAAGGGCCATGCAGGAGAGCATTCGTAGGTGGCGTTGCTTCCGTGAGGTGTTTCTTTCAGACTCAGCAGCGCCCTCCGCCCAATCCCTCCTCCGATTTCTTCGCTTCCGATCCTGAAATATCAAACCCAACAAAGAAAATTGTTGAAAATTCAACTGCCGCACTTAATCGCATATCAAATATTCGCAAGCATACATATACACATGTATATGTATGTATAGATTCCAGGGTTAGGGCTTACGTGGCGTGGGCTACTGAGAGCAGATTGAAGGCTATGGAGAAGAGCAGTAGGAGAACGAGTGATGAATCTGAAGGCATAATTGCTCTCTCTCTCTCTCTCTTCGCCTCTTTCTTTCTCTTCTATTCTCTTCTGCTAAATCGGGAGCTTCATAATTTTTTTTATTTCCCTGGATTCCCCTGAAGTTCTTTGCTATTATAAAATTGGCCCCCGTGTTCACAGTATTTCGCAGACTGGTATATGGGCTTTTGTAACTGGGCCGTGTTTGATGAGACGATGACATGTCGTTTACATTTGGGCCCTAATAGTAATGCTTAAGAGTTCATAACTGCAGCCCACCCATTTGCAGTTGAATCTTGAGTGAGTGGGACTTTTCCCACAAATTACGGTTTTGTGTACACAAACTTAGTTGACTGACGTGGTCAGGGGTGAGTAGGAAGAAGGTTGCCGGATATGAAGTTGGGTGGCTGACGGCTGTTAGGTTTTCTGGTTTTTTATTTTATTTTATTTTTAATTTTACAGTTAACACTGTTAGATGGGTTAGGAAGTTTACCTTCGTCATGTGTCAAAATATTAAGAGTGGGCTTTTATTTATTTTTTATTTTTTTGCAAAGAAGAATTGAAGGCTTTTTTGTACACATATTTAAACTCAAGAAATACTGAGGGTTTTTTTAAAAGTGGAACTCTTTATAAATTTTATGTAACCTCATAGTTTAACATCAATTTATATGCTATATCAAACATTGTGAAAAAAATATGAGGTGTCAGAGAGTACATGGAGAGTTTCACTTTTGAGAGAGTCAACTAAGCATTTCTCCTTAAACTATGATTGACATGAATATATAAATTCCTATTTTCAATAGTGGGGTGCGGTGTTTGGGGTGGAGAGGTAACAATGGTGGTACGGCTTTAAAAACAAATGAGGGTATTACCTGAATTGAAAATATCCTTTAAAGATTCAACTCCCCTTTTTATTAAAGCAGCTTTTAATATAAAAAGCAGTGTAAAACAATTTGGTAAATTTTAATATAAAAGTGATATAATTGTATATAGTAACAAAAAATGGACATGGTTGTGGGGTGGTGGTGATGACAGTAGTGGCGAGGGCAGTAGTGGTGATGGTGGCGGTATGGGTGATGCTAGCAACAAAAGTGGGGGTATGGTGGTGGTGCCAATAATGGGGTGTAGAGGTAACAATGGTGGTAAAGGAGGTGATTCTCGTGTCAATGGTGATGACTGTAGTTATGGAGGTGATGGCGGCAGTGGTGGCGATTACGATGGTGGTGGTAATGGCAGTAGTGGTGTAAGGTTAGTGTTTGTAATAGTAGGTGGTCACGGTCACTTTGTTCTTCAAGGGATAAAGTGAGTTGAAGGTTAAACAATGTAAACTTATAAAAACTAATGAGGGTTTTACATTAATTGAATATCTATTAAATATTCAACTCTGCTTTTTTTTTTTTAAAGCAGCTTTTAAAAATAACCTACATGTTGCTTTTAAATACTATTTTTAATTGCTTAACTTTAAAATAAAGTTGTTTTCGATAACAAAAATAAAAAAAATCAGTACAAAACGAAGCTTAAATGGTACGAGAAATGATTAGCTGAAATTAAAAATAAGAAGATCCAACATTTATAGAAATGAAATATAATGACTAAAAAACTCATAACATTGAGTACTAGGTAATGTTGAAAGCACACCTCATTGAGTGCAATGACATAGTGGGTGGAATTGACAGAGTGGGGTTGGGACCATGACCATGTGGGTCAAAATTTACGAGGTGTACAAAATACAAAGTAGCAAATGAATAAAGGCCCATAATGTCACAACACGGACGTTCAATTTTAATAAAAGCTTTGAAGTATACGGAACCACTAAAAGATAGGTCATAAATAATGGAAAACAATCATCCACGGATCTTTGTCTATAGATTTTAGGAATTCTGCAATCGCGTTCATTCATCGTATATCGAAAGGTCAAAAATTATTTAAAATTCAAATCTAAATAGTACTTAACGAAAACTGACCTCACAATGTACAATGAACAGACACGATTACAGAATCATTAGGATCCTTAGGAAAAATATCCTTTACCATAAATAATCACATTTATATGATTCAGTTGTAGCAGTTGGCGATGATGATGATGATGAAGTTAGAAGAAGATTCTTATGTCTTTTCAGATTTCAGTACTAAACTTTTAATGCTGTCACGAGAAGACCATGTTTCTGACATGACCTAAACTCCTTTTTGAGTTTTCACTTTCTTCTTTATGGTGTGGACAGAAAAGTCGTTAGTGGTTGGGATTATCAACCGAACTCCAAAATAATCACCATGTAATTTCTCGGAAGATGATTCTTTTGGAGAGTCAGCCTGCAGGTAAGACTTTATCCGACATAAGAAGATTGTCACCATCACATCCCATGTCACTAACATAATGCTACAGGAAGAGAAAGTTACGCATGACATTGTATCTTTGTAAGTGGACATCACGACAGCAGTGTTCCCGTGCCATGGAGAGAAATTTCTCTCCAAAAGGTGAGTTCTTTGCTGGATTTGAGAACCTACTTAGACAACAAGTTAATGGGAAACCCTAGAGGTACCATAATGGGCAGTATTTTGGTTAACAAGAAGATTCACCGAAAGAAAAGTTGAACATCTGTGAATACAAACTCACAAGACACACATGGTGAACAATATTAATGGTTAATTTCAAGCATTTTCTGGCAAGGGAAACTTACAACGAAGATTCTGAGGGAGCATTTTCAAGAAACGAAAACAGAGAATTTGTGGATTACATAAACGTTACAATGCATAATGCTTGTTTAAAATACAGAATGATTCAACGAGATGAGCATTACAACAGCGAAATCATGCCCTAGCGGAAACCATACCAATCACAGAACACGCCTTTCGTAAGCATACGATGAAGAATGTTGCATTATCTTGCGCTTTGGAACTCTCCCTGCGCGATTATTTCTTTGAAATCAGGATTCGGGAACAGGTTTGCCATAGACCAACGGAAATTCATAATACTGTTCGGAGAAACCGTGTTTCTCAGCAAAACTCTTCAGTGACTCGTAAACCTGGTACATGGAAGGCCTATCCTTTGGCCTAGAAACAACACAAGTACAAGCAACCCTCATAAACTGCAAAATTTCATCATCGTGACCTTTCCCAGATAAGACATTGTCAATGGCATCCATGCTTCTACCAGTGTTTGATAAATGATTCACCCAATCCACCAAGTTCCCCTTGAATCCTTCCACTACATTACTGATTTCAAGTGGCTTCTGTCCAGTCACCAATTCCAAAAGAACCACCCCAAAACCATACACATCTCCTTTCAACGATGCCACCATCGTGCTCGAGTACTCAGGAGCCACATAACCAAACTCTCCCAAATCCCCATTTACAAACGAACTGTCATTGGAGTCACGAGAAGCCACCAGCCTTGCCAGCCCAAAATCCGTTATGCGAGCTTCAAAATCATAGTCGAGAAGAATCACATTCGAGCTAATGTTCTGATGCAGATAAGGCGGCTGACACGCATGGTGAAGCCAGGCAAGCCCTCTAGCAGCACCTACACCAATCCTTAGCCGAGTCGGCCAATCCAAAAAACCATACTGGCTATTCACATTACCACTTCCATGTAACTGGGAGTGTAATGTGCCATTGTACATGTGCTTATACACCAAAAGCTTCTCTTCCTCCAAACCACAAAACCCCAGCAAAGGCACCAAATTTGGATGCCTAAGCTGCCCCAACCTATTCATCTCCGACCTAAACTGTTTCTCACCAAGCTTACACGCATTGAGCCGCTTAATCGCCATTGCCGACCCATCAGGAAGCACAGCCTTGTACGAAACACCGGTCCTCGTAGAAATGACAATGTTTCGGGGGTCGAAACTGTTGGTGGCGGCCAACAAATCTGCCAACCGGACTTTCACAATGGGTTTTTGAAACAGAGACACTTGAATAGCCTTGTGTAGACCTCAATAACCCAACCCAGCCACCCTCACTCTTATCACCACCGCCAACACCGTCCCCAAAGCTTCTCTTTTTCCGACCCGCCCTGACGAAAAACCACCACCAAATGCCCAATCCCAAGATCAGAGACCCGGCAGCACTAATAGCACCGGCGGCGATGATAATGCCGAGGCTTTTGCTGCTCAATCCACCGCATTTCGACCCCAGAGGCTTCCCACAAAGCCCGTCATTCCCATCAAAATCATCCTTCTCAAAATTCGACAGGTCCAGCGGAATAGTGCCGGTTAAATCGTTATTAGCGACGGACAATTTCTTCAGCCTATCAAGCCGGCCGAGCTCGTAAGGCAAAGAACCGGAGAGGCGATTGTCGTTCAAAATTAGAGTGTTGAGGAACTTACAGTCGGCGATCTCCGGCGGGATTGAACCGGAGAAGAGAGTTGCCGGAAAGATCTAGGGTTACGAGGTAAGGAAGCCAGTTGCAGATTTGGGGAGGAATCGAACCGGAGAGAGCGTTACCAGAGAGATCCAAGCTCTGGAGGCTGTGGCAGAACTTGAGAGACTCCGGGAGCTTGCCGGCGAGCTCCATTGACGAGAGCTGGAGGCTGATGAGGCGATTCTCCTTCTCGTTCCAGCAGGTAACGCCGACCAGCTTGCAGATGGAGGCAACCGACCTGTTGCAAGGTCCCATTGGCTCAGCCGCCCTTCTGGATCGGTGAGCGAGGACTTGACGCCCTCGAGGCATGCAACGTCGTCTTCTATGGAGTGGCAGGGGAGGAGGGAGTTGAAGAGCAAGAGTGAGACTATGACCAAAATGACCTTCATGGTTGTTGGAAATTGCGATTGGTGTTGGGTATTTTCTGGTGAATTGTGGGAGGTGGGATTTAGGGCTGTGGATGTGGAGGCGGCGGTGATGGCGACGGTGGAGGTTGGGGTAGATGGGAATCCATTTGACTGTGGCCTTCAGTCTTAACTCTTGAGAAGGACCAGCCTTTTGGAGTTTTTGATTGCCACCTGATATCTGGGCATTTTATGGGGTTATGGTGTCGTTTTATAGCACTCTTTTGACATAGAATAATATAATAATCTTTGTTCA